AGCTCTTTCCCTCCCCCTCCCCAAGCTCTGTTGAGGTATAGCTGAAGTACAAGAAACTGCACATATGGATACACACGGTTTGGTAAGTTTTGATATGTGCATACACCCAGGACATCATCACCACAGTCAAAATTACGAACATATTCATCACCCCCAAAAGTTGGCATGTCTTCCTTTATAACCCAGCCCTGTCCCCACGCGCATCCTCAGGTAGCCGCTGAACTGCTTTCTGTCCACTCTAGATTACTTTACATTTTCTAGAATTTTATATAAATGGAATTGAAGAAAAAATTTTTTTTGCCTGCCTATTTCAGAATCCACATTGTGACTGTAACTAGCTTGTTCCTTATTGTTGAGTAGTGTTTCGTCATGTGCATCCACCATGATTTGTTTATCCATTCACCTGTTGATGCACATTTGGATTGTTTCAACAGTTGTGTACAGGTCTTTGTAGAAATATGCTTTTGTTTAATTTGGACCAGTATCTGGGAGAACTGGTTGGGTGTGGTGGTTGCCTATTTAAGACTCTCGGAGCTCCTCTTCACAGCGGCTGCTCCCTTAGCGCCCCGCAGCAGAGTGTGAGTGCATGGCCCCACCCACAGTTGCCACTGTCAGGCTCAGAACTGTAGTAAGAGGCATCTCAGTGTGGCTTTCGTTTGTATTTTCCGGGTGACTAATGAAGTTAAACATCTTTTCATACATATATTTGCCCTTTGGTTATTCTCTTTTGGGAAGTGCTTTTTCAAGTGTTTTACCCATTTTTCTTTTGAATTTGAAAGATTATGTTCTGGATATAAGCTCTTTGTCAGTTACATATGTTGCAAATATTTTCTCGCCTTTGTGACTTACATTTGCACTCTCAGTGAAACGGGTAGAATCCAGGATGGCAGAATAGTGTGTGTAATTCATTTTTTGTGAATTATCGTTAAGAGACTTAAGATAATAATACACTGTTAGATGTTAAGATGAGACTATATTTTTATTCTATTACTTTTATTGTGATTAATAATGTGCAAATTGAATCTAATGGTTAAAACTTGGAGTCTCTGAGGATGTTTTGTCATCTTCTCCCCTTTTTGCCTCTAGGAGCTCACGGAACACACGTAGCCAGTATAGCTGCCGGGCATTTTCCAGAAGAACCTGAACGGAATGGTGTGGCTCCTGGTGCTCAAATTCTTTCCATCAAGATTGGTGATACAAGACTAAGCACAATGGAAACGGGCACGGGCCTTATCAGAGCTGTGAGTATTTGTGAGCTGTTGACTTCGAAGACTAATAATTAATGATCATGGATGTTTTCAGGTTTATAAAGTGCTCTGGCTTTACAAAAAATATTGGAACTGTATTTGGTGTATAGGACTTTGTTTTTAAAAGCAAAAATGATTAATTCATTTAAATATTTTTATTGAAAATTATTAGGATAAAGTTTTTTGGAAACTATGAAAGTATTATTTACATTATACTCTCACTTCTATTAAATCCCTTAGGAAGCTGTTTTGAGCTACTTTAAAAATTTAAAAGACCTCTTAGCCAGCTTGCTCCGTCAGTGTGAGAAGAATTTCTTATTCTGCATTTCATTTTAACATATGAATTATATTTTACTTTAGCAAATTTAGACTTTAATATGAACCATTCCATCCCCCTTCCTCTCCCCAACTCCACTCTGCAAATGCTAGTTTGTTTCTTACTGACTACTTCCTGTACTCTGTGACTCCCTCATACATTTTTTTAAGTTTATCAACCATATGCCTGAGGATAACTTAAAAATTTAGATTTGAATTGGAATACGATTGGTTAAGAAACTATGGGATTCCATTCCTTTATTGTACTGGCTCATCTGTTTCTATAAATGGCTGCCTAAACTGGACTCTTAATCTTTTCAATAGATGATAGAGGTTATAAATCATAAGTGTGATCTTGTCAACTACAGCTATGGAGAAGCAACTCACTGGCCAAATTCTGGGTGAGTGTTCTTTGGCACTTGTCAGCCATAGAAGCTTAGCTGATGAAAAGTATTAAATGCTTTTTAGAACTGGATTGGATATCACAACTGAAAAAGAGCAGACTCGGTGGGTAGATGATAACTGTCTGTCTCTGAGAACCCTGCCCCCATTCCCACAGTCACATCTTTGATGTAGTTTTCCCCTCCTAGCCAGCCAGGTGGACCCGAGGGCCCATCTGTCACTAGAATTCCTCATCCACCCGCAGCCTGACCTCTTCCAGGTGTACTTTCCTGACAAAATCTAGACTTGTGGAAGCCTGGCAGATCCTTCAGTGATCCCACAACTCATCTGCCCGGGTCTGTGGAGGTCACACTGATGTCATACTTTGTTTAGAACCGCAAATCGGAGATGTTCGTCAGCATCATCTTTGGTCACACTGCACGTGCCCTTGCACTCCTGGACGGCCATTTTACACCTCCTTATCTCCTCGGAGCCTTTCAGCGACCTCCCCTTTCATTCCTCAGCTGATGTCCTCACGTCTTTCTTTCCCAGAGAAAACAAGCACTCAGAGGGAACCTCCATGCCCTTCCTGTGACCTGTCTGACCCAACCTTCTGCCTTCCCTTGCTCTGTAATGAAAGAAGTGCTGGGATCGAAAGCCACTCAGGCACTTACTATCTGGCTTTCATCTCCTCTTTCCTCAAAGACTGCTCCAGCATCATCCCTCGCCTTTCCTGGGTTGTCATTACTACACAGACATGCTCTAGTACCTGCTAGCTTTAAAATTAACTTACTAAAAAACCTTTTCATTTCACACAGCCTTCATTTACTTTCCCAGCAAAACTTAGTTATTATGTATGTTCACTGTTTTCCATGGACGTGTCTCACTGCCCCACTCTGTGCCTGTGCCGTCAGGATCTTCCTGCCGCGAAGTACACTGGCTTTGCCTTGACCTCATGTTGCCTCACCTTTGTCCTTCATAGTACTAACTTTGAAATTACCTTATTTAGAGTGTTTACTTATTGATCACCTCTCCCCCACTCCCCCACCACACCATCCATATACACCCACCATCCACATTCACCCACCATCCACATTCACCCACCATCCATGTACACCCACCATCCCTATACACCCACCATCCATCTACACCACACCATCCACATACACCCACCATCCCTGTACACCAGACCATCCACATACACCCACCATCCATATACACCCACCATTCCTATACACCACACCATCCCTATACACCACACCATCCCTATACACCACACCATCCCTATACACCCACCATCCACATACACCCACCATCCCTATACACCCACCATCCCTATACACCCACCATCCACATACACCGACCATCCACATACACCCACCATCCACATACACCCACCATCCCTATATACCACACCATCCACATACACCCACCATCCCTATACACCCACCATCCACATACACCCACCATCCCTATACACCACACCATCCCTATACACCCACCATCCACATACACCCACCATTCCTATACACCCACCATCCACATGCATCCACCATCCACATACACCCAATCTTGTATATCTCAAGATTGTATTTATGTGACATGCTGAAAAAGACACAATGACTGGAATCAAGAATGATGAGTGGTTGCCAGGGCTTAGAAGGGAACATGTAACTACAAATGGACAGATAACACCAGGGAGATATTTTAATGAGGTGCTAAAATTATTACTGTGTTTATGGTGGTGGTTGCACAGGCTATACATGTGTTAAATCTCGAAGAACTGTACACCAAAGAGAAAGTCAATTTTACTGTATGTTAATTTAAAAAATAAAAATTTTAAAAAGTTAAAAAAAAAACACCTTAATTTTCTCAGATCACTGGTACTAAGTCCTTGTGGGGCAGGAAAGGAATGTCTCACAAGTACCCTCTCTCTCAGTTGTTTCATCCATGAAGGTAATCTCGCCCCCTCTTCTCTTGCTTCAGTAGCTTGATTACCTCAGTGTATTTCTTTCTTTCCTTTAACATTCCTTCTTTTAAAGTCTTCTTTCCCT